TGAATGAATGAATGAATGAATGAATGAATGAATGAATGAATGAATGAATGAATGAATGAATGAATGAATGAATGAATGAATGAATGAATGAATGAATGAATGAATGAATGAATGAATGAATGAATGAATGAATGAATGAATGAATGAATCTCTCAACTGAAAAATGTCCAGGCTCAGTCATGAAGAATAAAGTATGTTGGTGGCTGGAGTGACAGCTTCACAGTGAAGCATGCTTGCTGCTCTTCCAAAAGACTCCATTCAGATTCCAGCATATGTATTGGACAGCTTACAACCATCAGTCAGTCTAGCGCCAGTGGAATCCAGTGGTCCTGACCTCCATAGGGACCTCATGCATGTTCATATCATCTAGACACAGATACAAGTGTAAAAATAATTAAAAATCTTAAAAAAGAATAAAATATATTTATAAACTGTACAGTGAAAGTTTGTTTAAATTTAAAAAAATAAACAGTAATGTTGGATATAAGGCCTCTTGCATACTAAGCAAGTATTCTATACAAAGCTGTATCCTCAACTATTTTTACATTTATTTAATTATTTACTCATTTATTTATTCATTCATTTAGTGTGTGTGTGTATGAGAAAGAGAGAGAGAGAGAGAGAGAGAGAGAGAGACAGACAGACAGACAGACAGACAGACGGAGGGGTATGAGCATGCCAAGGTGCATTTGTGAAGGTCAGACAACTTCTAAAAGTCAGTTCTCTCCTTCACACAATGTGGTTTCCAGGACTTGAACTCAGGTCCTCAGGCTTGGCCACAAGTACCCTTACCCACTGAGCCATTTTGTTGGCCCTCCCCAATCCACTTTTCATTTTTATTTTGAGACAAGGGCTTGCTAAGTTATTCAGTCTGATTGTGAATTTGTAATCCTCCTGCCTTAGCCTTCTGAGTAACTGAGGTTCCAGACCTGTGTCTCCAGATCTTGTACCCAGCTGTCAATTTTGAGGGATGGGCAACAGGGCTGATGAGATGGAGTTATTCTGACTCTGAGCTGCTGGCCTGTGGAATGGCTCAGAGAGGCAGTGTGGAGCAGTGAGCCAGTGCCCATTCAGTATCCACTGAAATCCCTTGACAAAGAGGAGGAAGGGATGAAACATATGTGAGTGGAGGCAGATTCTAGTGTGACTTTAAGGATATTGGAAGGCACAGAGAAAAGCAGACACTGACATACATTGGCAGTGACATGTTCTCTAGGCATGCCATTATTTCTCCGGAACTGGGCCAGTTGCGGATAGGTATGGTTCTTGCCTGGCTTTGTGACTATTTTTGTCAGGTCAAGGTTGTTAGTTAGATGCACCATGAATTACCAGAAGTTAACACTTCCTGTATTTGTTCCATATTTCTTTAATCTTATGTTTACATTATCAAGAAGCTGCTCTGAAATTTCAATAGCCAAGTGTTTAGATTGTTACAGAGGATGTGGACACCAGACAGACATGCAGTGTTATGTGTTTTGTTTTTTCCGAGACAGGGTTGCTCTGTGGCTTTTTGAGGCTGTCCTGTAACTAGCTCTTGTAGACCAGGCTGGTCTCTAACTCACAGGGATCCGCCTGCCTCTGCCTCCCTAGTGCTGGGATTAAAGGCGTGAGCCACCAACGCCCGGCTGCAGTGTTATGTGTTAATAAAAGTTTAATTGCAAATGAAAACTTCCCACCCAAAGTTTGCAGAAATCACACTGACTTTAGCTTTCTAGAGAGAAGTATCGAGATTTGTCATGATGTCTCCTAATGCCCGTGCTGTAAAAACACACAGAAGCACTTAGTGTTATGTTATCGATTTGACTCTGCAGTGTTGATTAATTTCTGGAGCATTATTTCACTTCCTTATTCACTGGAAGTTCCTACTTTGCTCTTTGCTTAGTTAAGTAGGGTACACTTCATGTTACAGCTTTAAAAAAAACTAACCTGCTTTTATATAAACATCAGGCTTTTCTATCACATGTCAGGTGTAGACATCTAAACACTGTATTGAAAAGTTGCAGTTTAGCAAGTCAATTTTCAATGCTTTCCTTCTCTGTGAGTAGGTGACTTAGAGGACAGGATCCCAATGGCAGATCCAATATAGCAAAAAACATTCCTCCTATCGTATGTACAAAACTGATAAGACTGCTTTTCTAGTGGGGCTTACGTTGTAACAGCATCCAATATTCAGAACAAAGACATGGCCCTTGAAGCTGTGTTCTTTTCATTAAGTGACTTTCCAAGCCAGGCTATTGGGGTGCAGGCTTATTATCTCAGCTACACAGGGAGCTGAGGCAGAAGGATAGCAAGGTCAAGCTTGACCTGGGCTGCAGATGAGTTGAAAGCCAGCCTGGGCAACTTGTTTAGACCCCATCTCAAAATGAAATCTACAAAAATATATAGGGCCACAGCTCAGAGGTAGGATGCTTGCCTAGGATATGTATAGCATATCCTGTGTGTCCTCAGGTTCAGCCCCCTCTCCATATTGGAAAATATATGAATGAATATGTGCATGTTTTAAAACTGTTTATTTTCATTGCTTTGTTTCATGTGAATTTTTAAAGGGATCTAATGGATTTTAAGTCATTTATTTGGGATTCATTGTATTTGGTGTAAGTGTGAGAGTAAGGTGATGTCAAAATAGCTGTAGTATCTTGGATTGTATAAGGCCCAATGCACAGTGAACAAATGTACTATTGAGAATAGATTGTTCAAATATTGGCCATTAGAATGACCATGCTGGTAGATGATGACTTAGGATTTTAGATTCATAAAAATTGAGTCTAATTTCAGTGTCCTTAGGGGAAAAAAGATTAACTTCAGATTAGTATAGTATTTTAGAAAAATGAATTGGTACTCAAGTTATAAACTTAGAGTATAGCTTAGAAAAGAAACCATCTTGAATAATCTTCCAAAAGGACAAGGGTGTCTTCAGTAGGATTTTACAGCAGGGTTGCATTTGGTGTGCTAAGGGTCTAAGTCACGTGATAGGCATGTACACACCAGGAACAGGAGTTACAGGAGGTTGTGAGCCACTTGACATGGGTGCTAGAAGTGAACTCTGGCTCTCTGAAAGATCAGCAAATGCTTTTAACTGCTGAGCCATCTCTTCAGCCCTAGTTGATTTAATTGATGTGGGATAATGCTCTTGTACACTGTAAAGATTTGTCACTCATATTGGTTTAATAAAATGCTGATTGGCCAGTAGCCAGGCAGGAAATATAGGTGGGGCTACCAGACTAGGAGACTTTTGGGAAGAGGAAGGCAGAGAGGGAGGTGCCAGCTAGCTCCCAGAGGAAGCAAGATAAGAATGCCTTACTGAGAAAGTGTACCAAGCCATGTGGCTAAACATAGTTAAGAATTATGGATTAATTTAAGCTGTAAGAGGTTGTTAGTAATAAGCCTGAGCAATAGGCCACTGTATGTTTATTTGGGACTGAACGGCTGCAGGATGGGGTGGGACAGAAACTTGGATCTACATTTAATATGAAGATAATATACATACAGAGTTTTGCAATGTGTTTGGAATATAGTAAACTCTTAATAAATGCTAGTCTTCCCCTTTTCAACAGTAAATTTCTGGGACAATGAAGGACACTTAAAAGTAAAAAAAAATGAGGATGGGATTATGCATCAGTTAGAGTTTGGCAGAGAATCTTGGTTGACTCAGTTTGGTAGGTGGCTGTGTTCAGTTCGGTTCATTTGGGGACACTCCTGCCCCTCTTAGTTCTAGGCTGTCATCTGAGTGCACTAACGTGTTGGTGGTCAGCCGACAGCCAGTGGCCTCAGCCGCACACGAGCAGTAGCATTGGTGTAAGTGGGTCACGTGGCATCAAAAGGGTTCTAGAGAGCAGTGAGAATAAGCAACCTGCTAAAGAAGACTTGAGACTTCTGAGTTTCCTACTGTTCCTTTAGCTAGACTGAGGCATGAGGTCATGGCAGAGAAAGATATTCATCAGGCAAAAAAAGAGTCCCCTCTTGATGAACAGGGCTGGGAAGGACTTGTAGCCATGTTTGTGACCCACACAGACTTCTTATTGTCTTCTAGGCCTAGTCTGGATTATTTGCATGCTACTCATTAAAGCTCCATGGCAACTTCCTGACATATACACATAGTCCAATTTCAAAAGGGAGAAAGCTGCTGACCAGAGAAGCAAAGAGACTTGCATACATTAAAGCCAAGGTTGTTATTCCAAGTTATGGAAAGGCTTTGTAGGTACTGTCTTTTCATGAGGTGCATGATTTAACAAGAATTTGGTTTAAAAGGTGTAGCAGTGTCTGTCCCCAATTACCTGTGGAAATGCTAAGCTGTGTGCTTGTTCTGTATAGAAACCTGTGCTGTCCTTCACAAGTTTGCAGAAGCTTACCGGAAGTGTGCTTTTGTTTGCTAGATCACCTGCACCACCCGGGTCTCCCTGCATCCTGGATATGACTGAGCTTCTTCAGTGGGCCAGACATCACTGGCACCGGCTGATGAATGGGAGAACCCAGGATGAAGATGAGAGGCCATACAACTATTCCTCACTGCTTGTCTGTGGGGGCAAGTCCTCCCAGACCCCCAAACCGGCAGGAAAGCACCGTGTTGTTATACCTCACCTTCAGTGCTTCAAAGATGAATATGAAAGGTTTTCTGGAACCTACATGAATAACCGAATACGGACAACAAAGTACACGCTTCTCAATTTTGTGCCAAGAAACTTATTTGAGCAGTTTCACAGGTACTGTGGTACTTTTAGAGAAAGTAACAGCTCAGAACGTTCTTCATTCTTCTATTGAAACTCCTATCAACCCACGTATTTCATAGTCCCGTGTGCTGCACAGGCTTAACATATAATCATCCAAGGCAATTTAGATTCAAGTCCGGGCTAGAGTGAGGGTGCCTGTGGTTCACACAGTTCTTTACAGTTGGAAGGATGTCTTCTGTTTATCAGAGAAGATGCGGTTACCCTTGTGTTATCTTCAGATAGGATGTGGCTCAGCCAAGGCTACACCAGTAATAAGTAGCAGAGTGGAAGCCATAGCCTTGGGCTGACTCCATTTGGCTTCAGTGTCCTTTCTATTATACCATATTGCATTTTGATTGCAGGTTTTTCTTAACGTGATAATGGGGAAGAGAAAGGGACGCTTAAGCATGAGTTATAATGTTATTAAGTGAAGTAGTGATGTAATTCATTTTAACAGCCATTTATTGAAGCTTACTTGAGATCTTTGGCAGTGAAGACAATGCAGGTATAACTTGCTACTTTCCTCATGGATTTTGTAGGTTTTCCACATGTGTGTATAAACAGTGAGAGGGCACAATGGGTTTACAGTTATTATAAATCATAGTGGAAGCAGCAAAAGGAATCATACTTTTACATGGAGCAGTAGAAGGGGATGTGACACTCAGTTTAGTTATGGAGAGTGGAGTGTCTTCTGCCCAGGAACCGGCAAAGCATAGTTCATGTATTGCTGTCAGAATAGGGAATTGAAACTCCATACAGCAGGCATGGTTCTGAAGGAGAGAAAAACACGCTTGTGTCTGTAGGTGGGAGGAAGGACTTAGAAATAAAATGAAGAAAAAAACGACATTTAGGATGCTGCTCCATATACCCTGCTGAGTTGTCAGGGAGACCCAGGATTACAACAGTGTGGGAATGAAGGGAAGGACAGCCCATTACACGTGTTGTAAACCAGCTTTGAGAAAAGAAGCGGAAGAGAAGAACCGCAGATGGACATGTTGTGATGACTAGAAAACTTACCAGGAAAGGGAAAGCCAGGGCCAAAAAGCTGCTGCGATGTTCAGTTTCTTGTTTTGGAAATGGCGGAACTGCTTTTGTGAGTCTGGAGATTCTTGTGATTTGTACTTCATAGGTTCTGTGGACAGCTGCTGCACAGTGGTTGTGTCTGAAGTGCAGATGTGAGTTTCTGAGATTAATAGCCTTAAGGGCTACAGGTGTTTGCATCTGTAGACTGTAATCTAGTGCATTTGAGGAATAAATTAACTTCTAAATTTACAGTGTTCTCTTGAGCTGTGGACTTTGATATGATCCATAAAGAAATAATTGAAGCCATGGATCTAACAAAAACAGTTAAGAAAGAAAAATCAGAACAGAATAAATTGGAGATGAGGAGGGAAACATTTGCATAGATTGTGCTTTTAAGGAGTTTCACAGTCGAAGGCAAAAGGAAAATGTCTGATAACTATGTAGGACTGATGTTTCTTGTTCGTTCTTTGTTATTTGAATTTATACAATAGTGAAGTTTTGGGGATGGAAGAATTCCCTCAATACTGTGGTTCTGAATAGTGTGAAAAGAAACAGAAAGTCTCAGGGAGAGAAAATCCCAGGCAGCCCTGCTCATTCCAAGCCTTTAGATTTTGAGCCTTGTTTGGATATAATGTGTTGATTCAGAATTCCTGGGGTTTGTTTGCTTAAACTTTTTCTTAAAGTAAATTTTTATTTAAATTAAAAACAATCTTATTTTACATACCAACCCCAGTTGCCTTTCCTTCCCATCCTCCCATGCCCCAACCCCCCATCCACTCCCCAGGGAAGGTAAGGCCTCCCATGAGGGATCATCAAAGTCTGATGTTTTTAAAGAGAAAGCAGTACTTACTTCCCTTTTTGAACATGTGCTACATAACTTGAGACTATCACATTCAAATGTTCACTGTTACATATTTAATGAAAAAAATCTTTTATTTATTCACGTATGATTTAAGCCAAATATCCTGGATAGATATAAATACTTCATATTTGTTAGATTTTGCTAATTCCCTGTCCCATGACCTATGAAACCATCTAATACCGACTTAAGCAAAAGAACAAAAACCGTGTCTGGCCTCTTTGATTTCAGCTCTTGGAGCATTCTGTGCAAACCTCCTGTGTGTGCTTGGCTTGCAGGGCTGCCAATTTATACTTCCTGTTTCTCGTGGTACTGAACTGGGTGCCTTTGGTAGAAGCCTTCCAAAAGGAAATCACGATGCTGCCGCTGGTGGTGGTACTGACAATTATTGCAATTAAAGATGGCTTGGAAGATTACCGAAAATACAAAATCGACAAGCAGATCAACAATTTAATAACCAAAGTTTACAGTAGGTAAGTGGGATGGGTGTATCCCCAAGGAATATACTATATCCCCAAGCATATATAAGCTTGTTAGTCTTTCTATGTTTACATATGATCAGGATCGTTTTTTGTGCTGCTGTTTTTATTGTTTTGTGTTTTTTTTTCTCCCCTCTCTTTGCCACCAAGGATCAAACCTAAGACTTCATAATCTTTTACATATTAGCCAAGTATTCAAGCCTGAGCTATACCCTCAGTTGTTATTACTGATTTTAATTAACACTTCTTAAAATCCTTCAGTGAATTTAATTGAAATCTTAGAGGGGAAATAAGAGCCACTGTCAGTCAAGCACTTGACAACTTCTGGTTCATTCATTGGAGAACTGAAAGGATTTGAACTGGTTTGAGATCCGGGTGTGGTGACATGCCTCTGTAATCTCAGGATTTGGGAGACTGAGGCAGGCTAGGATTCAAGAGAAAGAGAAAAACTTGAATAGATACAAAAAGTTGGCTGAAATATGTGAAGTCAGTTATCTGTGGAGGAAACGGTTATGAAAACAGAATAGAATTCTTTTTGTGCATAAAACTCGAGGTTTCCTATTGCAGCCACACCCAAGCATCCTATAGCAGCCATACCCGAGGCCTCCATTAGAGAGGGTTTATTCAGGTGAATTCAGTTATTGTAAAAACCTCATTTGTAAAGAGAAAGTCCTTGTGTTCAAGAGAGAACTCAGGTTTTGAACTGTGATGCTCCTGATAGTGCTTCTTTTTAGATGTAAGGGAATACTCAGTAAATAGCACGGTTCAGGGCCACTTGTGAGAATCATAGAGATTTTCTTATGAGAATCAAAGAGAAAAGGTTTAGAAGAAGCTTGTTTGAAGATGTGGAGTTCACACTAAAGCCTGCAAGATTGTGAATTCTGTGCATAATTAGACTTTGTCAATAGCTTTCACAACATTTGTTTACAGATCTATTGAAGAAAACAAGGAAAAAGAATTTGTTTTTCATCTTTGTAAGACATGAGATGACTTGAATAGTGAAAGAATTACTTCTAATTTTTATGCTATTGATGTAGGAAACAAAAAACCCAATATGCACTACCAAATACTAAAATGGTTTTAGAGTCAAAGTCTCTAGTTTGCCATTGAAAGCCACAGAGCGTGTGTGCACCAATGCCATGAGTCATTCAGTAACCTTTGAGTGCTTAGGGAATGCCAGAGATAGATGGGTAGCACGCTAGACCGTCCTGACCTTTGGACACTAGCTGGAAGGTGACCATAGTGACAAAATCCAGATTCTGTCAATTTTTTTTTAAGAATTTATTTATTTATTTATTTATTTATTATGTATACAACATTCTGCTTCCATGTATAACTGCACACCAGAAGAGGGCACCAGATCTCATAATGGATGGTTGTGAGCCACCATGTGGTTGCTGGGAATTGAACTCAGGACCTCTGTCTGGAAGAGCAGTCAGCGCTCTTAACCTCTGAGCCATCTCTCCAGCCCCTAGATTCTGTCACTGTTAACATTAGCCAATTATCACAAAATTTAGAAAAGAAGAGAGGGCAATATATATGTGCATTAGTGGGTAATATATACGTGTGTGTGCATCTTGTATATAGATTCGTCTAAGTGTAAATGGCTGTTGACTTTTACCACTAGTTTATAGTCAATAATATGTCTTTGATTTCTGTATTTTTCTAAAGTGTTATAATCTTGATTTCTCCCACTTACTAGCTTTGTAGTCTTGGGCAGATTACATAAGCTAGCTAAATGTCCAATTTATTTCATTATGAATAGAATTGATAAAACATCACAGTGATGAGTATATTTTAAGAGCTGAGTAAAGGTTAGCCACTAGCATTACAATGGGCAGGTTAATGGCAGTTAGCAAGAGGGTTTCTTGGCACTTGGGCAAGTCATTTAATTAGCATGTGAGACTTCGTAATAGCATTGCTCTGTCTCCTAGATATTAACTGCCCAATGGGAGACCTGGTGGAGCCTTTTCTCTAGGGTCCTCTTAGATGATTTACATCAACATTTAGTGATGAAATGCACTATTCTAGTCTACTAATATAATACTGTTTTATGACTTCATGACTGCATTTTGTAAGAGACCTGGGTAACTTGATTTTTTTTTATGTATATTCCAGGCAATTTATTTTTGCTCAGGGCTATGGAAGAAATAATGTTTATTATGTTTTCTTCCCCAAATTGTCTTTGGAACAATAAAGATAAAAAGAAATAAAAATAGGCTGTGAAGCCATACCATGTTGACTTATGCTAACTTAAATGCCTAGGGAATTAAAAAGATTGTGGGAAATACAATATTTCTCACAATATTTAGGATGAAAACATGGGGCCATTAAATGGAGCAAACGTTTGGAAGAAGAGTGTTGACATTTCCAGGCTGAAAATATGGTTCATATTCATAATATCTGGCCTATTACAAAGTAGTTCATTTCTATGGGTAAATATCATATAAAAATAACAAACACTACTGTCAAAATTCTGTATTAGCCCAGTTAAGTTAGAGTGACCTAATACAGAAGACACAATTTTCTTTTAAGTGTTTAAGCCCTGTAATAGCCCAGTTAAGTTAGAGTGACCTAATACAGAAGACACAATTTTCTTTTGATTGTCTTTAAGATAGAAGTTATTTATAAAGTTTTTGTGACACTAGAGATACCATAAGACCCAATCAACAAACAAACGGTGCTTTCTATGTGATGGACATGGAAAGACTTAGAGATTGATCAGGCTTGTGTTATTATGACAAAATGCCTGATAGAATCATCTTGAAAAGATAGAGGATTCTTCTGATTTACAATATGGGACGTTTCTGCCTATGGTCTGCTCTCCTCATTGCTTTTGGGTCTGTGGTGATGCAGCTTGTCATGTCAGGTTCATGTGACAGAGAAAACTGCTCACCTTATGATAGCCAGGAAGGAGGTGGGGGCAGAGTCCCAATATCCCTTCAAGTACACCCTCCAAATGACATACTTTCTTCCCATGAGAACCCAGCTCTTATGATGAACTGGGGAGCAATCTTTCAGTCCCTGGGCTTTGGGAAGACCATTTATCCACATATACTTCCTCTTTGAAATTTTCTTCTCCTTTGCTTATGATGACATCACTTCCTTTTGGATGCCCTTTCACTTTCATGTCTTCTTAAAGACCTTTCCCCTAAGGATGCTTGTATCTCCTTCCTTGCCGGTTGCCACTTGCCCTTTACGTACCACAGGCTTCCACATCCACAACTTTACTCACAGCATGTGGATAAGAATCTTATACTAGCTGTATACCTCAACTGCCTAATTCATGTTACGTAAAAACTTCTTAAGATGAATTTTCTGTCTCACCTCTGATGTTATTAGTAGCTTCCAAAATCTGGGACATGGCTAAAGGCATCCTCTTATCATCCCATCATGCAAACGAAGACCCATTCTGTCATCCTTGAAGTTGCTTACTTGTAACAAGTCAGGAAGTGGCTTTCTCTGTTATTTAATTATGTTTTCATTTAATCTTTTATTCATTTCTCCTGCTACCGCCTTAATTCTGAGCCTTCTCAACCATCCTTTGAATCATTTCAGTAACTTGACATTGGTCTGTTGTCTGTTCTAACCACTAATTAGGCTGCTGCTCAATAGTCTGTCACTCTGTCACAGGAATGAACATACAGAAGTAGGAACACACCTTTTTTTTGTGAATTTCAGTGACACAATTTTCTATAGAATGAAGTTTCTAGAATTCCCAAAGATCCCTTTCCTAGGTATGTGTGGCATATAGGACTAAGTTTTCAAAGTATAACTTTCTACCTCTTTTTAAAAAATCTTCTGTCACTTTTCTCCATGGAAAAAAAA